TTCAAAATGAGCTTCCCAGATTATATGCCACTGGGAATTAAAGGAAACCGGAAAGTTCTAGAGAGATTTCATCTGTATAGAAGGCAGGAGTCACCTATTTTCTCCAGGACAGACACCCTTTTTTCCATGTATTTGGAATCTATAGGAATTCTTCTTTGTCTCTGCCTCCCTGGTTTCTGATACTAGGAGCCTGAAAATGAGTTGAATTTGTCCCCTTTGTAACAGGTACCCTTGACATTTCCTAGGGTGAAGTGGACTTTCCTCTGGACCTAGAAAATTGATCTGGATCATGGACAAACCTTTTGCAGACTCTAAACCTCAAAAAAGTAGAGGGGAAAAGCAACATTATTTGTGTCTGTCTGTCTGTCTCAGTGTAAGAGCCCAGGATAAGGAGATGCAGAATGAGTAAGGTTGAGTTACTGACAGATTTGGCTTCTGTTTTAAGGTACTTTAGATGATGGGCCCTCCAGTCATTGTTCCAGTCTAACATTTTCACTATATTCCTCTACTTTAGAAGCCTTGGACTGATTTTCTATTCTCATCATTCTGAACTTGCACTTTTAAAACTTTGAAACCTTCTGGCAGTGGATCACCTTTGTGATGCATAATTTTAATAAATCCCCACCCCAAAAGCGCAAGAGTAAAGAAAGAGGAGCTAATTATTCTTCCCCACTTCAACTGTTTAGGACTCCTCTTCTACATAAATTGGCACTTATCATTCTGAAACTCTGAACTTTGTTACCTAGTACCACCTAATACACCTCTGTACTGTCAGTTATTTTTCAGAACAATGGCCCACAAGGAAACTGGGTGTCATAAATATGCATTTGTTCTCCTTCTCTTTTCTCTTTTCTTTTCTTTTCTTTTCTTAACTTTTTCTTTCTTTTTTAAAAAAATATACTATCATTGAAAAGGATACTTATGCACTGAAGTCATGTAGTCACCTGAAACTTTGTGGCCTTGCTTATCTCAGCAAACATTAAAACTTTGCTTATATGTTTTCCCCTAATTTTCACAATAAATTAGTTATTGGCAGATCCATTAAAAAGGTACTTGAAAGATTTGTGGCACTGTCCCTTCTTCCCACTTATGTTCAACAATTTGGCAGATATACCATGTATGCTTGACTATAAGTTGACCTCAGGAAGATGTAAGCATGTGCAGAGAGAAAATTGAAAGAGCAAACCAACCAGCCATCCAACAGTACTTATACAACCTTTTCATGATGGCAAGTGATCTGGACCATTGTAATGAGACCTGACCTTACTTAAACTTTCACACAAAGACATACCATGTATACTCGACTATACATTGACCTCATTTATAAGTTGAGGGCAGGTTTTAGGGCCACAATTATGGATTTTGAGATGACTTATGGATAAGCCAAGGGTAAATCTTAGGGTTATGTAACAAAGGATGTAAAGGATGAAGCAAAGGAAAATGATGCCAAAG